AAGAGAGTTTACAAAAAAATTTGAAACTAGTAATAATGGGTGGATGTCAAAGTAGTTGTACAAGTGCTGATGTTATAGCAGAGGCCAGATTTTCACGGAACGGCAGCATAATTCTTAAAAAATAAGAAAATGTCAAAAAATTCAATATCGACACTAGTATTAGTGACTTTGGTTTACAGAAGATAATATAGTGAAATATCATATCATGATTTCATCATTACTTAAACTCTGCAATTTCACTTTTAGTTCACTGAGCAAAAATAAGAAGATTTGTAAAATTTTTCTCGGTCTCAACTTTTTTTCCGAAAGCAAATGTACACTGGATAGGATGGACTTTCAAAATTACCCCCCCTCCCCCCCTTGAATCGTCAACTCCAGAATCTATGCATCCAACCAAAGCATATGATTCAGGGGAATGTCACTACTTAATAGAAAATAAGCTTATAGTAAATTGGAATAAATGGCCAATGTTTATTTTATTTGGACCGAAACTAACCAGCTAAAATCAAGTAGATCGCAAAATCTAGCCAATGATGATGATAATAATGGCAAATCTCCGTGAAATATATTGATGACCAAAAATCAGGTCACATTTATATCATTCTAAATTAGATTTTTATTTGCGTTAATAATTGTTTCTTGGGTAGTTGAATAGTTTTCGAGATGCAAAGCTCATGGTCAAATAACATGGATGTGACCGATGTGAAAGACAGTCATTTTTGGCCAAATACGCCAAATGAAAATATAAAGCTAAAAAAGCGTAAATTGAAAGGCGCGTTTTGTTGCATATATATCTATACATATATGTGTGTGTGTATTTATGTGCAAGCCAACATACAAGGAGTCATGTGTCCAAATATGATGCTGTTGTTCTCTCCGTTTTCTCCATGTAGCGAACCGAAATTTGTTTAGGTTGTTTAAACGATAAAAAATCACTGTTGCATAAAGACAACGCCCTTTCGATGGCCTGCTTTTTGGTTTCTTTTTCGTTCGTTCTTTTTCTGAATAGCATTCAATTTGATTTTGTTTATGTTGTTATTTATTGTGACATCGTATATCATATATCAAGTTTTAAATCTCATCGAGAACAAAATTTTCACACGCAGTGTTTATATCGCATCAGCATTTTGCCAGCTGGGTAACAAGACCGTAAACGAAAAAAAAAACACAAAAAGACCAACAACAAAATTTTATACATCCTGCATTTAACTACAATTTTCATACATAGGCACATGCACACATATGTGCCAATCAAATTGGCACTGTGAAAGTCTACATTGAAGAAATATTTTGATTAATATATACCACGAAATAGTTCAATCTCGAAATTCGTGCGAATTTTTTGCGGGTTACTTCGAATTACATTGACTTACAGCCGCTTTTATTCACACGTATTCACATGTGCTTCGACTTTATGAACATTCTAAAAGAATAATTTTTTTGTTTATTCAAGTGTTGTACTCAATTTTGTGGCGATTGAAAGGGTAGCTTTCACATTTGCATTTCAACAAGCGAACGCAAATATTTTTTTTTTAATTGACTGCATTCAATGAATATAATAAACGGTATCCGAATTGACTGTACTCAAACTCTGGGGTTTTTTTAATTTAGAAATTAAATCAAAAGCTTTGACTTCAGTTCTTTATGAAAGTTTGGAAAAATGTCCCATTATTTATCGCTATTTAAAGAATAGAATCGAGTATCATAGATGAGGGTATTCAAAGTATTTGTCACGTATAAAAAGGATGTCTCAACATCTATATGTTTAGTACAAATTCAAGAACATACAGACAATTATCGAAAAATAAAAACAATAAAAACAATTGTTGATTTGACAAACCGTTTTTGTGTTGACACTTCTTCGCACAAATTGAAAGCGAATGAACGTGTTGACAAAGAAAAACGGTATGTATAAGGGCCCAAAGTCAATGAATTTATAAACTTTCTTGCTATTTTATTCATTTACATTTAATTAGCTCCACATTCGCTGCAAATTACAAGTAAACGCATCAACAAAGTTGTATGGAAATTTTTTCAACAGCATCGAATGATATAAAGAAACCGAATCTATGGCCGGATGTGTATTTAGTGCATCAATGCACAACGATGGATGAATGCATCCGGCGTAAAGGTTGCATTGCACAGTTCAATTTTGAATAGTTAACAAAACAACCAATAGTACAATTAAAAGTTTTGCTTCACTCGATTAATTAATTTTTTGATGTTCGCTTTTATTCGTATTTGGCAGCAAAAGCAGCTGTATACAACTGTTTCATAAGCATATTAAATGATGCCAAAGAAGTTTTGCAAACGGCAGAGGTCAAACTGTTACGCTTGTAATTGCTTAAACTTTCATTGGGCCAAAGTAAAACTTTATCGGAAATTTTACATTCGACAATTTTTATACGATCATAATATTTCACCAGCGCTTATTGAATGAAAAAAATGTGCGGCTCACCACAACAATTGTTTTATAACAACCACACGAAAGACGACGAACCATCGTCGATGATCGTTTGTACAAAATAAAGAGTTATTCGTTAATCGTGGATATTATGAGTATGAGTAGGCAAAAAATGGCTTCAGAATAGAATGGATGCATCGTTAAAAGAAAGCATGCTCATAAATTAATCATGTGCATTTTGCTCAAAATGACAATGTCATACAAATATCTGTTCTCATTTTGGTATAAATCGTTTCTCTATTTTTATCCATCTATTTCGTTTTGTTCGTCAATTTTCGATGTGAATCAAATGCCACACATTTTCATCATTAACCATCGTTGAAAAGTGGACTTGAAATGATGGATACTTCAACATTAATTTGATTTATGATGTTTTAAGCTTTAATTAACGTCATCTTGAACTTCATTCCAATTATTGTTTTGAATACAGTACAGTTTTTTGGAGCCTGTGCTTCACACAATATTTTGATCGTGAATGAATCTCATTTTTGAGAACAGTGGCAGAGATCTAGTTTTTTTTTCCATTCGATAAATTTGTCCAAGATAAGTTTTTTTTGTGTGGCTTATTGTAGATGCTTATGCCATGGCAATTGTTATGAATTATTCGAAACTGTTGTTGGGTTTCCGGTCTATTTGAAAGAAATATCTTTAAACCCTGAAACATCAACAATAATAAACAGGATAAACCGATCAAGGATTTTTCTTATTCAAGTAGAAAATTATCGGTCGTTTACTATTTGACCTATAAACCATTATCGTACCTTACTCCAGCTCAAAATGAAACATACACAACACTGATTCATTCAATGGAAGAATCTCGAAAGACTTGAAGAACACTAAAAAGATTCGTTGTCGAAATTGGCTTGTTTGTGTTTGTTGCCGAAAAGCCAATCAAAATTTCAATCAATTTTTAAATGTAATAACATTTAAACATATAAAAAAAATACTGAAATGATTTGTCAAATGTAAGTTGTGCAAATCAATAATTGAAGTGCATAAGATATGGAATATTTGTGCAGTTTCACTGCCTCAAATGTTGATTTATCTGCATTGAATTTACTTCGATCCATCCAAACGGTAATCGATTTTTCAATAATTGCGCCAATTTATTTTTTGTTTGTGAATTAAATGCAAAATAACAAAAAAAGAGATCAAATTACACGAATAAATGGCATATAATATGTGAAAGATTTCGGCCAAAGTATCTCGATTCACCGGGTTGGACTTGTGTTACTCAGTTTTCAAACCACAAATTGCTGTATGTTTATGTGAATTGAACTCATAAAAAAACTAAGTTACATTGGACTACATTCAAAGGCAACGACAATGAAATTGAACCGTTTTCTATCTCGTTTTTCCATTCTCATTCAGTTTCACCTTTTATTATCTTCATTTCTCTTTACATCCCTGTCCTACTATATTTTTTTTAAAACGAAATTGAGACAGAAAAACCCCCATTGAATTCGGTTAATTGAGCATTCGTAAGTTCTTTAACGTTTATTGCCATTCTTTTTTCATTCTCACTGTCTCATTCTCTCCTCATTTTCATTTGCTGGTGTGCTTATTTCATCTTAGATTGTAAATTTTCTCGGAGGCTGTGTAATTTTTCTCATTTTGATTTACCTTATGTTATTGCTGGCACTTTTCTTTTCGTTTTTCGTTCGCATATCTACAAACCTACGACGCAATCTATTACAAAATCGTTTCCACATTGGTATAGTATTGTAACTGTGCTCCAACACGCACACACACATTTGTGTCTGTGTATGTGCATGTGTATGCGAATATGTATGTGTGCGCATTTGTCTGTATGTTCTATGCTACATGAATGATTGTGTGTGCGAAGGGAGTATACACGCCAAAAATGCTCTCGCAACTGCTAAAGCAAATACCAAAGCGTATTTTGTACGTGTGATATGTGAACGTAAAAAGCAAAGCAGCGAAAAAGGAAAATACACATTACAAATTGGGAAAAGCTCTGGCTGGCATTTGGTATACATGAGCAGCCCAACACGAGTTCATCCCCGAAAAAAAAAAAAAGAAATTGTCAAGCATGAACAATGTGAGAGAAGCGAAGAAGAATTGTTAAGCATAACTGCTTATTATATAATATATAAACGCATGGCGAGAGCGCCCAAAAAGTGGATTCTCATTTCGCACGTTTATTTTTTTCTAGAGTTCGTGAGTTTCCAAATTGAATGTACCAAGATGATGCTATTCAAACATTCAACCAATGGAGAGAAAAATCACATATTTTACCAAATGAAAATACACCGTTTTTCGATAAATTCGATTATTTGTCGTCTATTGAACGGTGTATTGTTGAATAACTGGTATATGTATGTGAAAACCAAAGAATAAGATGTAGGGATGAAAAGAATGATAGACGAGACCAGCAGGAAGATAAGAATCATCTCACTGCAAACAACCAATAAATTACCACAGAAAATAATAAAAATAAATACAACTGAAATACGCACAAGATTTTTGTCTTTTTAATGATTGTACCAGAATGTGGCTAAAAAACTAGTCTTACCTCTCTTGCCATTACGGCATGTCTCAACAGTACCACTTCGGGGCAACTTTTTTGTGCTTCGTGACTGCATTAACAATATCTAAATACAACGACACCGATGACGACGACATACAAACACTAAACATGTAAACCTCCACCAATATATAAAATGCACAATAAAACGGCGGCTTCGATAACGACGACGACGATGACGACGAATATGACGACGACCACTATAAGATGACAATGATGACAAAATTATAAAATAATTTCTTCGGTTTTTTTCGAATTATTATTATAATTTTTTTTCTTGCGTAGATAGTGTAGAAAATTCGTTTATTTCTTATTATAGAAGTAGTTAGATTTGGCCGTGATACGATTTACTCGTTTACTATTTCGTTAGATGTTTGAACACACTAAGCACACAACACAATCAATTTTCGATGCGCTCACACAACTAAAGCTGATGAATTGAATAGCACCAACATACGCACCAAATTCAGACACCAACACTTTTAACACTCTTCAAATCGAGAGATTTTCATTTGATTCTATTTTTTCCCCAATTTTGGCCACAACATTTAATCGCGTTGATCAATTCACTGCTCATACTTGTCTGCTGTGTGCTCTTCTTTATCTCGTTCATCAAACAAAAATCTGTGTCATATACTCGATAAACAATTTGAATTTAGTTTTAGCAAAATAACCGAATTTGATCGATTACTTTTGGTTTAGAACAATCAAAAAAAAAAAATCGAAACGAAATTTGGAAATTTGTTTTTTTTTTTGCACCGACAATTTTACAACACTGCAAATAACTTTCGTTCGAATTTTCCACTCAGAAGCATTATGTTTTCAGTCAAATTGCACAGTGTCTTATTTTATAGGAACAACCACCCTCTTGATTTGTGCTTTCTATTTTTGACTGTCAATGTACCTTCTTTTTTTTTTTTCAAAAAAATATCACAATTGCAAAAAGTTTTGGCGTCCAATTGTTTTTTTCTTTTCGAAATAAGAGAAAATCAAAGAATATTTTAACCAAAAAAAAATGTTTAATTAAAATGTAATAATGATAAGAGTGAGTTTTGTTGGTTCGAGGTGGTCTTGATTGATGCTGCTTTCACTTTTTTTTTTACAACTTAAACGCCTTTCGTGCCTTTGCTCATTCAATAAGTTTATCTTTTCTCGTTTTTCTTTCGCAATGCGCTTTTTCACTTCGTATCGCTTCACACACCAAGTCTCAATTTGCTTCCATAGTTTTCCAAAAATGTACCAACGAAAAAAATGCCCGTCTTTAAAATTCGGTCATTTTCGTCACTCGTGAAGTTTTATTTATTCCTTTGTCAAAACTGTTGTAGCGAACTTTTCTTCGTTTCCTTTATTCTTCTTTTTCCATTTTCTCTTTTTGTCTCATTCTCTTACACTCACTCGATTTTCTGTTTTTGATTTTTCCCGTTTTTTTTCCCAAGTTTCTACTGAAAACGATTATCTCGTACACGAAATTCCATCACACTCTTAAAAATCGGTCACTACACCACACAGAACCAACATGAGCAAGCATCAGTAGCAGTGTGTGAAGAGAAGAAATAAATAACAGCACTGCCAGTGTGATGATGATAATGGTGCGGGAGAGACGAAAAAAAAAATTATATTGGTGGCTCCCGTTATTCGGGGGTATGAAGTAAGCGCGCGCGGTACCGAGAATACGAGAGAAGCAAATGTATTAAACATAAACGGAAAAATTCTCATCCCAACATTGCTTTAAAATGCTCATGTGCACTTCCATATCAAATCAAACTCTTAAAAATGTAACATTCTTGGCTCTGTGTGTGCTTTTTTTTGTGTATCTGGGGTAGAGGGAGGTGGTTTGGCAACCGATTTTACTGCCATCTGACTTAAATCCACGAGGACAACACCCGATCGATGATTTTCGTTCTTCTTGTGTTGTGTGTGTGCGCGCCGAATATGTGTGCGATAGAACGAAAACGAGACAGTTTTACAAGCATCTGAAATCGGATGGAAAACTAAACGGGAGCAAAGGAACAATAGAGAGCATTGATGAGCGCGCGAGCGCGACAGAGAGATCGCATAAAGATGAGGGAAAATGGAACTTTTGCTACTACTACTACTGCTGGTGATGCTGCTGCTGCTGCTGCTGCTGCTACTGCTGCTGTCGTGTGTATGTGCGCGCACGTGTATAAGCAAATCTATGTGGCCAGACTGAGAGAGTGCGAGAAAATAACGACAATCGCGCAAACAAAACAGCCCTTAATGCTCTAGATTTCAGTGGTTTGATATGCTTTTTTCCCTGTCATGTGCATGTGCGTACAAATGTAATGGCAAGTATGTGTTCGTTTGGATGGATGGACAGATGGACGGATGGTAATTGTAATTCTGGTGGTTGTAAGTGTTCATGTGTGTTTCATACACATTCACAAGAGCGGAAAAAAACAACCTCACGAAGACCATTCAAACCAGCGAGAACGAGTGTATATTTTCAGAAGAAAATGAAAATATTCCTAGACAAGGCGACAATAAATCTCTCCGCTCGTGTGTGTGTATACACGAACTTTTTTTGCGTACATTTATTTACATGAGAGAGTATATATATATATGTGTGTGTGTGTGTGTGTGTGCACGAATGATTCGGCGCATTTGTTATCTAATATATTTATTTCGGGAAATTTTGCCCTCTATTCTTTTTTTTCGACATATCATGCACAATATTGTACACACATAATTTCGCATGCAGGCGCACGTTCTCATTTCGCACATATTAACGAAACATTTGTTAGCATTATAATGCTTGAAACCACTCAAAAACTTTGTGCATGTGCCAATGTCGAGAGCATACCGATGATCGATGTGAAGTGAAAGAGATATCAACGTACGTGCAAACAAACCAACAACCACACTCACACATTTGTTGTCATATCTAATAAGTTTTTTTATGTCGGTTTTTTTTTGGGAGTTTCAATAACATTCAATGCGCCTGACTCTTGTTCCCATTTGAAATTCGATTGTGAAAAATCGCATGTACATTTTATACGTTTTCTTATTTTTATTTTTCATTGGACATTTTCGAAAGCATTGAAATGAGAATATGTAGAAAAAAATTAAATCAAATAATAAGGCGTCTTATTGAAGCGAAAGAAGAATGATCTCGATATAGTTGACAATTCAATTTCAACGAAATATTGCATTTAAATGAATGACACACACAGTATTGCCGCATTCGAAAAATCATCGCTAATCAGTTGTTCATTGCAGCCATTGCCGAAGAAACTCGACGTCTACTGTGTATGTGTGCAACGAAATGTCAAAACATTTGACTATTGTCATAATTTCTTTAGTGTTAACAGACAGAGATGGCTAAATAAACAATTGAGCGCATAGCTGAAGAGACTGAATACAACAAACTTGCAATGTAAAAGAGGAGAAAAGAGAAGAAAACAAACGACGAAAACGGAAAAGAAAAATAGTCGAACACACAGCAATAGCTATACTATAATCATTTGAACGATTAGAACCGTATTCACACATTTTTCATAAAAATCATGGAAATATTATCGGTGTAAAAATTGCCGTACTTTAAGATGATTTCGATGAAATCAAATCAAATGTTTCATTTTTTACATGAAAAACCATTTTATCACATTAAATTGGTCGGAAATTGTGTTAAACATGAAATAAAAACGAATTTTTAGCACATCTGTGCCTCATCGTGTGTCCGCCTAGTAGTACTTAATCCATTTTGCACAGTGATTACGCCAGAACATAAAATTATAAATAAATAAATCAGTTCAATCGAATGAAATACAGAAGAAAAGCGAGATAATCACATTGCAGCGAAATAGAGAGAGAGCGAGCAATTATTTCTCTTTTAAATCAAAGTGTATTTGTGTACAACAACAACAAAAAAACATGCAAACGATATTGATGTGAATATATTTAGCATTTAAAGAAGTTTGTTTATTCAGTTCAAGTAAATTGTTGTGTAAAATATTGGTCGATTTAAATCGGCAAACACATCTATTTCACGCATTTACATTTTGTCTTGTGACACAATCAAATCAAAATCACGGCATAATATATATATATATATACACGGCAAAATGTATAAAATTAATAGAAACTACTGTCTAATAATAACCACAGTCAATTAAAAACAAAAATATTATTACATGTTTAGTTTCAACGCTAAATAGATTTTACACAGTGAAATCAATGTGAGAACAACAACAACAATAGCAAAAAAAATCATCAAATGCATAGCTTAAAGCGAATTTTGAGCTCAATTGTTGGCTCAACCGCCACAATCAAATCGAGTGGAACATCATCATCGTCATCGTCCCGTTTAACCGACATTCCGAATAGCCAATACCAGTATCATCATTATCATCATCAAAAGGTACAGCATTTTTTCGATTTTTCTTGACCCATAATGATGAATTTCATAAAACTCACATCAAATGATTTTCATATCATTGCAGCATACTCCTTTATACTTCATTATAATGCGATTGAATTTAAAAGTGGTGCTAGTTCTGCTATGTTTGGCTGTGTTTCTATTTACATTAACAATTTGGACGCATTGTGGAGATTTGGCGCTGGCCAGAGGCTTCCTTCCAAAATGGGATCGACGATTCAATGGTAAGCAGCATCAAACTCATTTCGATTTCAATATTTTTTTATTACTAAACGTTAAATTGTTGTTGCAGATGAAAATCAAGAAGCAATTGTCAATGTCGATTGCATTATAAATCAAGAGTATAGTGTATCATGTATACAAGATGGTGATGAGGTGTATGTGCCATTTTCATTTATTCGTGATTATTTTGAAGTGTATGGTTCGTTGAGTACGATCGGAAAAGGGGCACCGAAATTTGAGTGGAGCCATAGTAATGCCAAAATCAATTATCCAAAAGGCACATATGACCCCAAAGGGATATTTATGTATTTCGAAAATTACAACGTTGAGGTATTCTTTCATTCCAAGCAAATAAAAATGATCCAATAAAAATTCGATTCGATTAATTCATTTTTTTTCTTTATTTATTTATTCGGTAGGTAAGAGATCGTGTAAAATGCATAAGTGCATCGGATGGTGTGCCGATATCAACACAGTGGGAAGCACAGGGTTATTACTATCCAACACAGATCGCTCAATTCGGTCTATCGCATTACAGTAAAAATTTGACCGATCCAGAGCCACGCCGAAAAGTGATCGAAGATGGTGACGAAAATCGATCAATTTGGATTGTGCCAAGAGGCAGTAATTTTTCACGTGTGCACGAAACAAAAGCATCACATAATCATATTATTTCGTTTGCAACACAAATTCATTACGATAGTTCGGTAGAAATGCATTTGGACCATGTACTTGATTTGGTGCTTAGCATCGATATTGAATTACAATCAAATAGTAGCTTTACGGTAACGATTCAAAATCGTGAAACAAAACAATTGTTCAATGTACATTATGTGGTGAGCGATGCTCTATTGACCATTGCGGATGAAAGTAATTTTTACTATGGAATTGGTGCGATAAATGCCGGCATTTGGAAACATTTAACGCGAGATCTTGTTGTCGATTTACAAAAGGGCATTCAACATATTCCGGCCACCAGTGTGAGCAATAATTTTGGTGGTGGCGGTGGCGCTGTTGGATTTACCAGTAACGTTGACAAAATAAAAAAGAAACTTCGACGCAGCGATATTAAAGTGACGTCAATTTCATTGTTTGGCATTGGTAAATTTGACAATTTAACATTCTCAACAACCGAACATTTAACGCAATTTTATGATGCGGCCGAATGGTTTGTACGAAATCAAAATACAAAAACTGGCGGCTGGCCAAATCCAGTCAAACGGAAATTATCCGAATTTGCTGAATTGAAACAGGGCTGGTATTCAGCAATGGGACAAGGGCATGCAATATCATTATTGGCACGAGCATATTATCATTCGAATGGCGATTCAAAGTATTTAAAAGCAGCAATAAATGGCCTTAAACCATTTCGCATTCCATCACGACAAGGTGGCGTTCTAGCTAAATTCATGGGCAAATACGATTGGTATGAAGAGTATCCAACGACACCCGCATCATTTGTATTGAATGGTTTTATCTATTCATTGCTTGGTTTATATGATTTAAATGCAACGGCACCACTAAATCTATCACGTGAAGCAGCCATTCTGTTTGATCAAGGGATGATCTCATTGAAAAAAATGCTTTTAATGTATGACACCGGTTCGGGCAGTGTTTATGATTTAAGGCACATTACTTTGGGTGAATATTTTTAACTTCACTTTTACAAAAAATAAATAAAAATAAAAAAAATTCATTTCAAACGAATTTCGATTTTTGCAGGTCTTGAACCGAATATCGCACGATGGGACTACCATGCAACACATGTTAATCAATTGTTATTGCTAGCAACAATCGATCGCGATCCATTGATTTCACGCGTAGCTGATCGCTGGAGACGATACATGCTAGGAAAACGAGCACCACATAACTAATTATTTGCACCGCATAAATGAGACTCTTAATCATAAAGTGATTGATTCGACACACGTGAGCGAAAAAAGGATCCTAATTCAGTTTCTTAATACATGTAATATTTGTTTTTATTTCATTTTCATCATATTTTTGCCATTTGAATTAAATTCTCGATTTTAGTTTCTATTCACTTAGTCATAAGAACCTTTTTTACATATATAGTACACGTTAGTTCATTTAATTCACATCACATTAAAAAAGAAATCTGAATAGCTTTTGATGCAATTGATTGTCAAATATAAATGCAATTTTTTGGTTTGACATCAATTTTGTAGTACTTATAATTACTATTTAAAGAAAAAAAAACAATATGAATGATACTGCAATGATTCTCACTTGGTGATGACCTTTTCGTAACTGCTTTATTTAAAAAAAATGTGTTTTGTAAATACTGTAACTAAATTTTGTATAAAGAAAAATGGAAAAAAATCGAACGATAATGTAAATAGGTGTAAAAATAAAGAACTGTAAAAGTTCCAGATTACATGAAATCTAAAACATTCATGCGGCAGGGTGGAATATTTCAAAAAAAGAATGCAACAAAAAATATATATTCGGACAAAAAAAAAATAATAGAAAATAATGACGTACGTTCTTAAATTGGTCGATTGAGAAGAGACCAAATAAAAACTCATACTATAGACTGTTAAATTATAGATTTGTGAATGATGATTTAGTGCTGAATTAGTTGAAAAAATAGACAAATATGTACGTGGTGTATTTTTTTGTTTCCTTCGTATTTTTCATCGTTCTGCGCACAAACAAGTTACTATCACTTTTAATTTATTAAAGAAATGCAAACAAATTGAATAGACGGTTGTCTTTTGATTGATAGATTTGTGATTTAGATTGACATGAGGAGCATGCATCAAATGCGTCATAAGTTTTTTTATTGTAGTTTTCAATCTATAGCCGACCACGTCTAAGCCTAATGTAATCGGCAAAATAGCATTTCAGAGAAGATCGAAGGAGAAAAACAAATGAAATTTGCACTGACAAAACACACATTCGACACATAAATATTCTATTTATTCACCATCACAATTAGCAACGATAAAATAAATGATTTTATATACTTATACATATATATATACACACACATATACAATTATACATAAGTGTATGAAGAGTTCTCATCACTGATCAGAAATAAAATAGCAACTGAATTTATAAATTAAAAAAAAATTCCGAAGCATATAATAACAATAAATTAGTTTTGCACACAGTTTTCGATCTGTAAATTATTAACCATTTGTAATTGTTTATAAAGCTATATTGCATATTAATAATAATCAAAAAAAACGAGAAGAAGAAATATCACTAATAGACATATAATGAATGCATACACAACAATTTGCACGTAAATAGTTACATTTTTAAATGTGAATCGCATACAATTAATGAGAGATAAAATCGATTAAATTTTTTGCATTATTGATTATGTATATTTGTTATATTCGCATTACAAATGTTTTACAATAATTTAAAATGTTTCCTTTTTCCTTGGAATGATTCCCCCTAAATTTAGTTTTGTTTGCCGAATTATTTTTGGTTGCATTGCAATTTCATTTTCTTATTTATGATTTATTATGAAAAAAAAAAATTAAAATTATTTATATTACTTTTGGCCATAAAAACTTGTCTTTTCCAAAAAGAGTTTTCCATTTCTTAAAAATATATTTAAAAAAAATGTTATAATTTAAGAAGATCAAAAATTCAAAATATTGTTTCTTTTAAATGTTGAATCCCAAGAATACGTATATTGGATTGAGTTTTTTTAACTGAAAAAATTACTTCCAACAAAAACAAAATAGATACATTCCAATGCAAATGTTGTTGTTTTTTTTTTCAAAGAGATTTATTTCGATTTTATAAATAAACCTTATTTTTTAAAATTTCTTGGAAATATCATAATTTAAGCAAATAAATTGAAATCGAGATATTTATGACATTATTGATACAGTATCGAAAAAAGATCGGAGTTTTTCTCATTTTATCCATTATTTAGCATTTTTGCAGGTATTGTGTTTTTTGTAAACAAAACGGTTTCGGGATGCATGAAAATGCGCTTCAATCGTTCGGCAATGTGTGCGAGAACGGGACATGCGCATGCGCTAAAAAAATGTCAATTGAAACAAACCACAACTAAAATCATTTGAGAAACGAGTACGAAAAAAAAAAACAAATACGATCGTAGCAAACGAAACAAATTTTGTTGACGCTGGTTTTTTTCTCTCTTTCACGTTTTGTTGATGTTTTTGAATTTTTTTTTTGCTGTTATTTAATTGCAACGTGAACCAATATGCGTGCATGTGTTGTTGTTTTTTTTTTCGTCGAATGCATTTTGGAATCTCGTCCTCTTATTTTTCTACGTAAGCTGCTGTATGCATTGTATTCGGTTTATTTGTAAAATAGATATAAATTGTTCCAAAGTCACAAAGTGCACGTTTCAGTTGATTGGTGAATGTTCAACGGAATTGTTAATATCCAATTCAGTAATAATTTGTCATCTCTATATGAAGCTGAACGGATACAACGACACACGGAGAGAAAATTAGCCCCATCAAAATCGAATGAGCAATTGAATAAATTTACGTGTTTCGGAATTTCGATATGTTTTGTTAGCGAAAAAAAGCGATACGATACAGATGTTGTTCTAGATCTAGATAAAAGCAGGCAAAGTACACACAGCCAAAACAGTCTTTTTTTTTTTGGTTACTGATAACAGCCAACAGTATTTGTGGCACTGAATTTGTGGAAATACACACGATCGCAAGCAAAAGCAAAAAAAAAACGTGATGAAACAATATACCAACGTTATGAAGAATTTTGATAACAAACACATTTCAATGATACATAGATATATGCAGTGAGTGCTTATATGTAGACTTTTTTTTGACGAAATTGATAAGGTTCGGTTAGTTGATACAAGCTCAATGAACCGAATAGTAGAAGCTCTTTCTGGAGGAAATTTGTTGTGTGTCATTTTCTGTCAGTACAACGCAAGTATCAGCATTTAAATTGTTGATCATATACATCGTTTACATCATTACAATCGTAACCAGCGATCGAGTAGGTCGTTCCTGTTCCTCGTTCATAACCGACACAATAAATTTGCAATCATTTAAATTTTATCAACATCATATAATAATTTGGTTTCAATTGTGTACGTCTTGTCTACGTGGTAAACGTTGTGTGGAAATCTTTGACTAAGTGAAACAAAAACGTTCTCAAAGAAAGGAAAAATGTCGTTAACAATTCTAGTAACTGGTGGTGCTGGCTATGTTGGATCACACACTGTTTTGGAATTGCTGAATGCCGGTTACGATGTAATTTGCATTGATAATTTGTACAATGCGTACAAGGATGCAAACCAATCATTGCCCGAATCGTTGCGTCGTGTTGAAGAGCTGACCGGAAAATCGGTGTTATTCTATGAAATGGATATTTGCGATCGTGTTGCATTGTCCGATTTATTCAAACGCCATAAAATTGATTGTGTTGCACATTTTGCGGCGCTTAAAGCTGTCGGTGAATCATGCCGTTTGCCATTGCAATACTATCATAATAATGTTAGTGGTACGTGTATATTGCTGGAAACAATGGCTGCTGCAAATATTTTCAATTTTGTGTACAGTTCCAGTGCAACCGTTTACGGTGAGCCGAATGCATTGCCGATTAAAGAAACCCATCCGACGGGAAATTGTACGAATCCATACGGTAAAAGTAAATATTTTACCGAAGAAATTTTGAAGGATTTGAGCGCATCGGATAAGCGATGGAATGTGATATCGTTGCGTTATTTTAATCCAGTTGGTGCTCATCCGTCGGGCCAAATTGGCGAAGATCCAAACGGTGAACCAAACAATTTGATGCCATACATTGCACAGGTTGCCGTCGGAAAACGACCACAGTTGAAAGTGTTTGGCAGTGATTACGATACACCGGATGGTACTGGTGTCAGAGATTACATTCACATCGTTGATTTGGCCGATGGACATGTGTGTGCCATCGATAAATTAGCCAAAAATCAAATTCAAGGTTTTATCACATACAATTTGGGAACGGGAACCGGTTATTCAGTATTGGATATGGTTAAAGCATTTGCAGATGCATCGGGTCAAAAAATTCCATATGAATTAGTTGAACGACGTCCAGGTGATATTGCCACTTCATTTGCCGATGCTACGTTAGCCAAAGAGCAATTGGGATGGATTGCAAAACGTGGACTACAAGAAATGTGCGCCGATTCATGGCGTTGGCAACACAATAATCCAAATGGCTTTAAATAGATCAGCATTTATTTACCAAAAACAAAGATAATTAACAAAAATTTTAAGTAAATTTTGTCGAATATTTAACAATTGTTTTTATACTGTATCGAAACACTCGTGCCAGTTATTAATAGCAATAAAAAAACGAATATATGAATAAAACACCTGTAAAAAAATCGCTGTTAATATTCTGGTTCGTTGATTGTACAAATTATAGAATTGTAATTCTGCTATTGTTATTTTTATGCTCTTGCATTTTTAGAAAAAAAATCGCCGGAAACTGTCGTAGTCACATACCAAATTGTTAGCATTTATCTAAATTTGAAATAAGATGATCACATTGCTTTTACATAATAAAATCCTATCTACACTGCGTACACCGTTTTGTTTGTTTTGTTTCATTGTTATCGCATGTTACAGGAATATTGGATTTTAATCGGTCAAAATGACACATTTCTATGTTTCCCCTTGAATAATGTTATCATTATGTCGAGCAAAATGCACCAATTAAAAAGATTTCTATACCCTTTTTTATTCGACAAACACATTCATTGGTACAACAACAAAAAATTGCCGCTATGCGGTTCAATACATAGACATGGTTTATCTGTTGTGATTGTTTTTGTTATTTTCACACGTTCACATTTCCCTTTTTTTATATCGTTCTGCTCAGAAATCAGATGACACTTACGACGATACCTAAACACACCACAATCAGTGTTGCCAGCGGTTAACGAATGTAAACGACAACCGTGAAACATGTTATTGCGTAAAATTTTCTACGTTTTACCATTGTGTGATTGTGTTCGTGCGTGTGAGTGTGTCTATGTGTGGTAATCGTACACAGATCCGTGCATGCAGACGGCATCGCATACAAATGCACACACACATCCACATATACAATTTCAATAACCAGAAGTATAGATGGCTTTCGCATAAAACACTTTTTAAAATTAGCTCAGCGTCATCACACAAGTGAAAACGAAATAGACGAATACCATAAAAATTTGGCTACAAATCTATATCTGTGCGATAAAATTGATTAACAAAAAGAAATTTGTTTGGAATTTTGGTGGAATATGTTAAAACGGTGAATTGTGTGTGATTGAAAACGATTTGACGACGATTTTTTCTTTACTTAATTCACATTTGAAGCGTGTGTTTTGTAAAAGCGAACGCAATCGATTTCTTTGTGTTTTAACTCCTTTTTTGCGTGAGATTTTTTCGTCAATCTCTTCAATAAATTAATTCATAATAAATGTGACCGTTTTGCATTTAAAACATTCGTTTTCCCTTGACCAGCAAATAAACAACAAAATTTGTTCGAACACAAATCGTGATTGTGGTTGCCGCTTTTTTCTATCTCTCTCTCAAGTGATCGACATTAAAAGTCACACCATTATAAATGTTTATCAATGTGAAATTCAGTGTTTTGTGGGAGAACAATACGTGAACGCGGTTTGAAGTTTTATGGTTAAAAGTGTGTGTTACACATAACTGGTGATATTGATAAATACACATTTCTGTCTTTTATGCAAAATAACAACAACAACAACAGCAACAACAAACTTAATATCAAAATTGCTCGGTTTGTGCGTCGAATATTCGGAAAATGAACTCGCCAGATACTGGCGGCGGAACAAATACAACTTCTGCTACGAGCAATAGTGGCAGTGGCGAAAAAACCAATCCAATTATTAAACAAAACGCATTTCCAATGGATTTAGCACCGAAAATCGCACTAGTCAAGCCCACAGACGGCAAAGGTGCCACAGTTCAAACTCAATTTCGGTGAGCAGAATTTAATATCAACATTGAATAATAGTTTTTGTACAAGTTTTTTTCTTCATGAATTTTCGTTTGTGTCGTGCGTAGTTTTGATTTTTTTCTAATTCTGTAATTATTTTTATTTTTCGATTCGGACAGAACAATAACACCGCAGCCAATGCGAGTTGTAGTGTCAACGGGAACAGCAAGTGCACAAATTATTCAAACACAAATAATGCCACAAGCAATGCTCAAACAAGGTACAGTACTCATTTTGTCAATTGACACATTCATTTGAAGCAACGACCACTTGATTCGGTTAAAAAAAAGTGTGATTTGGTTTTTTAAATAAATCAACCGAAACACAAAACGACCAAAAACAATTGAAAACGTCACAAAAAAAACTCAAAAACTCGAATTGAAAACAAAAACAAACGACCATCAAAAACAAAAAATACACTTTTTTATTGGCGAACACACACAACAACAACTATACTGTAACTAAAAAACTAACACTACAACAACAACAACATCAACAACAACAATAACAACAACAACACCACCATCATTACACAACAAATTCTTTAAATTCGCACCACAAACAAAAAAAAATCAGGGAAGCGCATGTTTTGAGATGTGTTTTTTCTCTTCTTGTTTCTTTTCTCTTGTCAATTTAGTTGATGCTTTAGGCAGAACACAAATAACGGCATTGCCATCAAGAACCATGGCACAAACATCAATTACTGTAACAAGACCGTTAACACCAAATACATTTATGCCAAGAGGCAAGATTGTTTTATCAAATATTTTGTTTAAAATCATATTTGTACAAAGAAAAAATATACTCCAAAAAAAATATCTGTAGTTTGTAGTATTGCAAATGCTGCATCTTTTTAAATTCATTTTTTGGAAATTTGCATATGAAATGGTCATTTAAATAACCGACAATTGAATTTGTGTCGTACAAATTTGACCAGATATGCGAAACAAAACAAAACAAATCCACAAAAAAAAAAACAATCTGAAAAATTGTATCGAGCTCATAAAGACACGATTTTTTTCATTGAGCGATGCTTGCTTTTAATTCAATTGTTATACATATTATTATTGGCATTAACTCTCTGGTTGAATATATAGTAGAATATGTCTGCTGTAGTTTGACCGGAATGATTGTCCCATTCAGAATAAATGTTAAAGTAATGGACACATGCGAAAAGTCGAATTCTTCTTCTTATTGAAATATCAAATTGTGATTTCTTTGTGTTTTCAGGTGTTACAACAAATATAGGTTCACGTGGTGCGATTCGAGCACAAACACCACCATCGGTGGCAAATCTTTCAACGAATTTTGTTCGCGGAACAATTCCACCACGCACACCATCACCGGCTGGCACTGTGATCCCAACCGCAACTACCTGGATGACTGGCAGCCAACCTGTTCAATTGATTCGAGCCAACATTGGACAAGCTCCACGAACTAAATGTAAGAATAATTTCACTTGAACATATCGGCATAATGCATCATTCAAATTATTTTTCGACTCAAATTTTAGTTACGGCTGTTTCAAGTGCAAATACGGGTATTACAACCATCTCGGCAAATATTGTGTCATCACAAAGTGGAACCGGCACAAATACCATACAAAATGTATCACAACAACAATCGAATCAAAATGTTTCTAGTGCAACAGCATCGGGTGAGTTACCAATTTCGTTTCGGGGGAATAAGATTCCGAAGAAACAAATGCGTAAAAAATTTCAATTGTAACATTGAACTTTAATGATGACTTAGGTCAATCTCAAACGTATGTTGCCACACTTGCCACAGTTCTACCACCTCGTCATCAGACTGCAACGCTCGTTTATAGTAATCCACAACAATTAGGAACAAATGTTACTGGACCCCGATTGGCGGTGGCCAGTCCAATTGCAACACAGCGTCAGGTTCGACCAATTCAAATAAGCAACGCACGATTACCAACAGCCGGCTTGAGCCGAGTTTCAACTGCACCCGGATGTGAGTATATTTTTTTTTCTATTTTTTTTTTCATCAATAATTCCAATCCAAAATGCATTATTTTTTACAGCTATAAGTATTCGCGGACCAGTTTTAACACCATCAAGTGTATTAACAACTCTTCCATCGGGCACAAATACAACGGCATCCAATTTAACCGTTGCTAATTTACCAGCTGCTCGAATCATTCAAGTACAACAACCAAATTCAGGCGGCCAAGTACTGAGCACCGGTCGTATTACCGCAATGACATTGCATCCGCTCGTTGTGAATGCATCAAATGTTTCAACGGCCAATACAGTTCGTGGGGTTAGTGCATCAACGGCAAAGCCATCATTAACAATAACTCATGTTGGAAAGGTAATGAATGACCCATTCTTATTTTTATGAGATTTGATTATGCATTATTCGATTTGTTTTCCATTTGAATAGAATCCTCAAAATAGCGTTCAATTAGCAACGGCAAGTTTATCGCAAGGAGCAACAATTACTGGTTCAGTACCATCATCGACTTCGGTTGTTCAACATCAATCGCAATCGTCACAGCATTCGGGAGCAGGTTCATCGGCTCCAATCGGTATTGTGCCTGCATCACAAATTGCACAGATCGTGAATTTGAATCAATCCGGAATTAATGTTGGCCATGGTCATCAAATTGTACGTAATTATCGATAATAATTTGAAAAAAATAAAAAAAAAATAAAAAACCAAACTTTTAACTATTGAACTTTAGCAAATAATTGGATCTCAGGGAACACAACAAACTTCAACGGTTGTGCCATTGACAATAACCTCTCGTGCAGCGCACACCTCATTAAGTGGTACATCGGTGACCACATTGCCAGCATCAGTTGCAACAAATTTATCGCAAATCGTTCGCGGTAACGTGAATATTGTTACAACAGCAAATACAAATAGCAATACCACAACCGTTTTACCAATAGCCAAAGTATTGCCACAACAACAGGGCATGTCCAACGTAGATCCACCTCCAATTGTATCGGTCGGAACGTCACAAAACGGTAAGCGTGTGTGTTTGTTTTTCTTTATTAAATCGAAAAAACCTAATTTTGAATGAAAATTTGCATCTCTTCAATTTCTAAGTAGTTGTCAATGTTGTCAATGCAAATGCCATCAATAATCGAGGTATGTACGAATATGATTGTTAATTTCAAATCTAAATGAATGATTTTTCAATTCTATTGAATTTCAGCGCAATCAAGTTCTATTAGCTCAACGGCCGTTTTGCAGTCAATTACAACAAATACATCGGCGATAACAACAAATGTGTCATCAAGTAATACAGCCATAACAGCATCGTATGCACCGCAAGCTGGTTCATTTGCCGTTGTTCCTTCATCCAATCGAAATATTGTTAACAGTTCATCCAGCGGACTGGTTTCGTCAACAGTCGTACAACAGAGCGGATCACAACCGATTCCAGTTCGATTCAATCCACAACTTATTGTCGATGGCAACAAAGAATCTACATCATACGATGGTTTATTACAAAAACAGCTTGGAGGCCACCAACAGGTACACAAAACATTCACATTTACATTAAACTAGGCTATTGCCAGCGGAATGTATTTAATATTCTGTTAATTTTCAGATTTCATACATTTCAATGCCATCAAATCAATCGCTAGCCAATCAACAAAAAACGGCGCATATAATACCAGTATCGGGTACAAAATCAAATGCTGTTGCGGTTGCGGTATCGTCTTCACCACGAGCAACCACTATCGTTTCTACAGCACCAAGAAAACGAGACCATGGTTAGTCTTTGCTTAAATTTTCATAAAAGAACATCGATTTGAATTTGGTTTCTTTTCTGTTTTATAGATTTTCGTGCAGAAGTTGTACAACAAATACAGGCAAATCAACGGATATCTTCACCAGTTTCACCCGGTTCATCGGATGGTTCAACAACAGTGAGTGCAACATCAAGTCCTGGTATTGATCAACAAGAAGAACTGAATGCATTGTATCAGGTAATTGATTTTCGTAACTCTACTTTAATCAATTTAGAAAATACATGATTATTGATCATAAAATACTTTACAAAACAGCAACATCAAAATCAATTACAACATAATATTGGCCAACCATTGCAGCAGCAGCAACAACAACAAGCATCACAACAATTACCACAAACAGCACATTCCATAAATATTGTTAGTTTCGTTAATTGAACATTTTGAATTCTCTTTTGCTTTCAATTTGTAAAAAAATATGTTTGTTTTTTTAATTTGCACAGTCGAATGGAAGTGATGACTTAACGCCACGCAAACGTCCGAGAAAACAGCAATTCAGTGAATATCCGCAGGCAGCAAAGAAATTTCAACCTGAATTGGATGTACATATTCAACCCGAACAACAACCAATCGCTGGTTCCACTCTTAATGAACAAGGAGTTAATATTAATTATCAAAATGCACAAGCAAATACAAGTGCGGCAGCTAATTTAACGAATCGTAATGCAGTCAAGCCCAGCAATGAGAATAGTCCACCCAAATATGTAGACTTTTATATTAAACGACCAAAAGCATGCAATTTACTTGATGTAAGTGAACAAAAAAGAATTGATTCAAAATGACAAACATGATCGTATTATAATATTTAAATTGTCACATTTTGCAGAGCTATAAACATTCTTGGAAGTCAACTCATAATCACTTTCAGCGATACTCAGATGTTAAACCTCGCGAAGAACGAAAACCGACTGTTGTCGATTTAGCCAATCAAACGCACGTTTTACAAAAGGTTAACGGATGGAAAATTTACCACCTAACATCACAAATGGAAGACCTGGTAAGTGCACACATCATTTTGAACAACATCATGGTGGATTAAATTAATATTCTGTTGGAAATTCTTTCAGACGGAGCTCGAATCACAAGTGTATGATAAGCTATCATCAATGTTACAATGTATGGAAGCGCATGAACAAAACACCGATGTAGATCGGGTTAATGAATTAATTAAAGTAAATATTCGACAACAAAAAAAACTAGACACACACGCATTTTACAAAAATTAAATACTAATATTCAACGTGTTTTTTTTAAACAGGGCAATATGCAACGCAGCAAAATTGTATCGGACTCGATAAACGAGGCCCGTGTACAGATTCTAAAGGTTTTCGATCATAAAAGTCATGTATCGGATATCATTCATCGATGTGCATCAAAGCGAAATTTAAAAAAACGTGAAAAATCGTAAACTTTTTGAATAGAACACTCTGAATAAAATTCATTGTTTAATCGAGATCGAATCACTCGATTCAGTTTTTTTTTTGGCTTTTTTCGATTTACGAAAAATTAAAATTATTAAAGAATATTAAATCATAGGAGACCATCATTTTAAAAATAAATACGAAGTAGACAACATTTGATAAGCAAAATAAAAGCGAGAATAATAAAATGAACTATTTTATAAATATTATTATTATTCAGTCATGGATCGAACACTTTTTTCATATTACCTTTAAAATTTGTGAATAAAGCAGCAACATTTTCATTACAATTTTACATTTTTAATATATTTTTCATTTTTCATTCTGAACGATTTTTTTAAATGTCCAGTACATCATAATTTTCAAATGTATAGGATTTCCCTTTCAATATTTGTGAGATGAAATAAAGATTTGAAATTACTCATGTTCATTTCAAGACCTTTCGAACAATATGTCCGGGGTGTGGCAAGTGAACGGGACCATATAGTTTTCATTCTTTCCAATTGTAAATAAAATGAATGCCTTACCAAGTGGCAACAATGTTGATTGATTGGTTGGCCCAGCTGTTGATGTCATGATTGTGTTTCAATTAAGTTATTGTAATTAAAAAACGCAATTATTTTAGACTGCTTGAATAGAAGTTGTGTTTGAAGGAATTGTGGCGTCGAAATATGCCGCTATTGAATACACATGAAGTTGGTTTGCCAAATGAAAGCACAACTCTGTCAATGTAATCGGTTGTGAAACGTTTAAAGCGACATGAAATGTCAAAATGCTTGGTGCAATCGCATTAGGTTAAAATTCACATAATGCATTCACTGTGACCCAATTCATCAACAATACAATAAGAAAGATTGAAAGAAACCTAGTGATTAATTTGAAAAAAGAATCCTCACATAAAACTAGATACTCAATTGAATTATTTGACAATCGAGGTAAGCGAATTAAATGAGCACCGACCGATCCATTGGCAGCAACATACACATCAATTCAAGCCCACCACCCCAAAACGTCAAACTCAATCAACAAAAGCGAACAACTGAGCTAGCTCGAGTATATCAATAAACGTAACCAAGTGTTGTTTGTTTGATCATTTTACCACAATTTCTTTCATATGAACTTTTTGTTTTTCCGAATTTCTTTCTTGTTTTTGAACATAAAATTCAAATAAACTGCGTTGAATTTGCAATACTCACGGGGATATCAAATCGCAACATGGGAAGTGATAAAAAAAACTCTCTCTTTTATAAAAAAAAAACTTTTATCAATTGATAGAAACTAAACTATTGAAAATATATTTTCAAATCGTTTGGAAGGAGTCGTTACAGATAATTTTACAATATTTTAATTAAATGGACGGTACGGAATGATTATTAAAAATAAAACAGTACATTTTTAAGGCACACAATGTGATTTTTGATGATTTTACAAATAAAATAACTTGATTTGACCTCAACTTATTCGAAATTTGGTTTTCTTTTATCTTTTTCAGTGTCAATATGATAATTTTCCTCGTTTACAGTGAACGAAATGGATAAAAAAATAATGAAATTACCGCCAAAATATACCACAAGCAGTACGATACCCGTTCAGAACCGCTAATAACATAATAATTACATCTGTCACCCTGGCAACAGGCCCAATCCTCATACTAAATGTGTGTACAATACGGCATATAATTTCGGCGAATAGTTGTGCATTGTTTTTTGGTTGAACACCTTTTTGAAACATAATATTGCTTCCAAGGGATGGAGATGAGTGAGACTCAAACATGTGCTTCTTCTTCAAAACAATACATACGCAAGTATCACATGTACAGCAGAAGTCAATAAGTATTCATCACAGAAACAAAGCTGAGTAGCGTGCGCATGTATTTGTGTTTGCACTGCTGTTATGGCGTGTACTTTTGATGTTTGTGAGTTAGTGTGTATGTATTGTTCTGAAGAAGAAGCACATGTTTGAGTCTCACTCGTTCATATGTAAATAAAATAGGCATTTCCAGGCCATGACTGCTTCAGTGCACCTTGAGTGAAATATGGACCCATCGGATCTTTGTCAAACAAATATCTTCTCCTTGTTCGCATGTTTTAATAGTATTTAGACACTTTTCGGTATTCTCTGTTTGATATGAGCACACATAGCATTCAAGTGCAGCACCTAGAATTATGAAAACAAACCCATTTTGTTGAATACAAATAAAAAAAATGACATTATGATTGCAAATAATATTGCAATGCACAAGCAATCATTTTCATTGAATTCATTTTGCTCAAGTCGTTTTGTATAAAATAAAAAAATAAAAAATAAATGTTTCACAACGTCTACTCCCAATTCACAACAATGGATGAGAAATTGTTGCGAATGAATGTCGATGTATGTTTTGTCAGTTTATCACTAAACATTTTTTATGCGCAATTTTACTGAACAGTTGTCGAACGAAAAACTTTCCACAATTTTTAAAGGGGTATAATTTCCTAGGGGGAAATGACTACTTATAAGTTCGACGAAAGCTATAGAATTGTACGAAAAACTTACAAGAACTTACACGAACTTATAAAATCGCACGCTTCTTATAAGAATTTATATGAACTTACGCTTTGTCCATATACATTAACACACTGCTGTATGTTCGATATGCGTCAAAATGCCGAAACAGTCGCACATGTAGTATTAAATGACACAACGCTAGTCAATTTTTTTATTACAGCTCACGCTGCAAATAATTTGTACAAAAGAGTAGAACGCATTTTAAAATAAAAATTACCTAATAAATTGGATATCATCATAAGACCTGATTTTGATATTGAAGCATCGCTCTCAACACTCATAGAGTCATAAGCAATAATTATTTGTGGATCTTTGAGATACATTACTGATTGTTCACTATCAAAACCGACTCTTTCAAAAATGACGTCTAATTAGACGAATTTATATTTCTTGGTATTTTTTCACCGAAAACTGTCTCGACTTATTTATACAAATTATTTTCTATTTGATTCGACATAACTAACATTTATTACCATTCACAACATTCTGCGATTTTCAATTGACGTTGAAAAACTTACTAGTAATTTATAGGAACTTACGTAAAACTTAGACGAACTTACAAAAATGTATGTAGAACTCAGGAGTTCTTACGCGAACTTGTGAAACTTACAGATACTTATGAACTTACAACGAGTCATTTTCCCCTGGATAATTTCAAATCTGTTTTCCCAAAAACAGCAAAAACATGATACTTCACAAAAATCGTATGGGAATAAAGACGATAAGACAGAAACATTGAAACTAAATGAAAATGGCAATTGTGATTTGCTTTCACATAGCAAAGATTTAGCAGAAATTCTTCAAAAAAAAAAAAACACATCAAGAACGAGGAAATTTCCGGTCTGCTGGATCGCTGCACCACCTCCCCGCTGACGATGCCCCTGCATTTATAAGAAATGATGTATCAAATGTCGGAAGCTATGCATGGGCGATGCAGCATGGCACACTATACTATTATTTTTCGATTCTTTTATCCACTCTTTACATATTTTACAGATATTTCAAACTGGCTGAACATATGCACACACGCACGCACCGCTGTTCTTCAAGTTTTTTTTTTGGTTTTTGGTAACACGCATTAGCTTTTTCGATGTTTGTTGATCGTGAGCTCAAAATAGTACGTACCCATTTAGAAAATATCTGCCGCGATTGTAATCGATCGTCTAAGAAATAGAACCTTTGCAGACAAATAAGTTGCGTTGACAAGCGAAAACGAAAGGTGCAGAATACTTGCAATATACTATCTCTTGTACATTATTCTAAATGATTCATTCCGTATTTTTTTATATTTTTTGTATTCATAGAATTTTCATCATAATGTCGATCGCACAAACTGTATTTTTTTTACTGTTCATAATATGTTTGACGGATACACTCAGCTGGTCAAGTGTGTGGAAAATTGAATGATAGCAAGAGTGTTCGTTGCTGTCACCCATTTTATATTTTTTCGTTCACGTTTTCTTTTATAGAATATGGACGTACATGCAAGGATATTAGATGCTTACCATGTGAAGTGTGTATCATTGTCCAAGATGAATGTTTGCATTTTCAAATAGAAGGCAGTGAATGTGGAAAATATCCAGTATGTGGGAAATTGGTTCAAACAAATGATTTAACAGGTAAAAAATGCATTCCGTCTACTTTATCAAATATTATATATCATACATATTAAACATCGTTACACCTCGAAAGACGTACGTCTTTTCATTTTGATAACGTACTCACACCTTTGGAAAATAATGAAAATATCCGTCTTTCATTCTTCTTTCTGTGTCCAAGAACCAGATATACATGTGTCCCCTAGTGTGTCCCTTTACGACCAATGGATGGAAGTGGCTGCAAAATATCGCAGATCCAATCTGCTCTATTTATCGAAACAACAGGAGGCCGCTTCAACACATTGCACACTTTCACGCTTTTTATTCATCATCATTAGTATTCTTCATTTTTTCACTCAATTTTCATATCGCAATTATCATTAAGATTTTTTTATTTTGTTTAGTATTTAAGAATATCGAAAAAAATAGCTATCGAAAGAAATTCTTATAATTTCTGTGTATTATGCATTTATGAAGTGCAAATGTATGAATTCATGTAAATAGCCAAAATTTCTCACGGTGGGGAAAAACTTTAAAGAGTTATTTCAAATAAGTTTTTACGTTTGATAGACAGTTTGTTTTTATAATGCTATTGTTTTTTTTATTCAACATGTTGAATCAATTGGACTTTGGTAGAAAATATTCGTACAATACTAACTAAAACTGAATAGTTTGCACATTTCCATTCGTTTCAAAATTGATGTGTTTGTAGTTATTGTGTATTTTATTGATGAAATATAAGCTAAAAAAATGTTTTGAACGAATATATCAAATTAGTATATAAATAAACTTTCATCGAATAGGATTCAATTTTTCAATTATAAACGTTATAATGAGTTATTTTATTCTACTGTGCTTTTTTTTGTTTAAGTTCAATTATGTTCATATTGGCTCAGGAATGTCCCCTTAGCCAACATGAATCATTCTCAGAAAGTGATGCTTCAAGTGGCGAAACGGACGAAACAGTTTCTAGGAACATGTTCTCTAGCAACATGATTCCCGATTTCGTACAAAAACTTCGTGCAAAATCGATAGGAGGGATAGAGTTTGAAGGCTATATTGGGAACTACGAAACACGCTTTCCTATTCAATTTTATAAACCTGGAGAAACGAGCGAAATCAATCAAAGATCATCAGGTGAAAGCATACAATGTTGCTAGCTAGCTATCTATATCAGCTATTGCTAAAGGGATATATAAGTAGCTGCTTTTTAACGCAGCTCTTTGCTCGGAAGCTGCGTATACTCGACATAGCAATAGTGTTATTGTTTTGAAATGATTTAAAATGTTAAACCATTCAAACAATGAGACCATTGTTATGTCCAGCATACGCAGCATCCGAGTGAAAGTTATCTCTATTATTTTGTGCTCTATTTAATTAGGTGTTACACACTATTTAATTTGTAAAAAATTATATGAGTAATTCGAATATTTATGTCTTGTTACAGATACTCCAAGCAAAAATTATGTATCAGTCATTAAAATATTTTATGACGACTTTTGTCCCAAGATACACAACCGATTTTAGCTTGAAACACAAGAGCTTACATAATCAGTATCAATGCGAAATATTAATTTCAATGAAATTACAGAACCAGTGCTATATTGAAAATGAACTTTTGGGTAAAAAAAATATAATTGCATATCCAAAAAATTAAAATACAACGTAAAAATATAACACTAATTTATTTTTTAGCAAACGAACAGTCAGGTTTCAAATGCAGTGTGAATAATTATTTCTTTGGGCAAATCAAAGATGTTACCGATATATTGTAAAGTAGAGAAAAAGCCATCTTGCGCATTTAGAGGTCAATTTTTGGAAATTCTTTTGACTGTTTCATATGTAAAACACTCACAATTTGTTCAAATTACAAACAATTCCAAATTCGTCATTCCAAATTCAGAAAAATGAGAACAAAATTCAAAAATTCAAAAAAGCAATCCAATTGAATGTTTCAAACAGAGTTGATACTGAAAATCGTCCAATAGAGGACGTTGTTCGTGGCACACATAGTGTTAAACTGTCAACTGTCAAAGCGTTGCACGTAACATGCGATTTGCGACAGAAGTGAATATAGCAACAAGAATATTTTACAGTCGTTGTTTTTGAAATCGAAATTCAATTGGAAAATTGTAATGCAGATACGTATGTGCAGATAACAAATCAAGAGATCAAAGAATGTGTCGATTTACGGGCGTGCGCTTATACAAATTGGTATAAAAAATTTCGAAAAATTACATTCGAATCGATATGCATTCCATTGCCAAAAGAAATCGTACAGTATTTGCTCGATAAAATAATTATATTACCAAAAGAATGCTACAGTAATGATGATGATAATGAGAATGCATTTGGACCAGACACTGCAGCCACAGCAGCTGACAATGAAGACGATGACGACGATGTAATAGTAAGTAAATTGAATGATCAAAATAGAAGCATATGACACATAGATAACATTATATTATATTTCAGCAACCGCAATTTCCAGAATTTAGTGAAACACTAGCAAATGCATTGTCACGACTTGACGGATCGGTATTCGTGAAAACCAATTGGAATAGCCCGAAAGATGCATTTTGGATAACCGCCGGCCAGACAATGTGCTGCAAAGATATCATCGATGTTTATCAATTGTTGAAAGCGTCTGGCATTTGCAAGGAGGATTTGTCATGTCACAATTTACCAATTTTCGATTTGGAACCAATGGCCGAGGCTTGTAGTAGCACTGACACTGACAGCAGTGACAGCAGCATAAATCAATCCATGGAAAATAGCCAATATTTGATATTCAAAAAATGGCACGACATTCATCCGGGCACTGAGTTTCGCTGTTTTGTACAGAACAAACGACTGATTGGCATTTCGCCAAGAGATTGGCCACAGTATCATGAATATATTTGCACACAACGCGTTAATATCGTCAATGATATTGTCAGTACTTTCAAAGAACATATCAAACCAAAGTTTCCACTTTATGATTGTGAGTGCCATCCATATATTTATTTCATTTATTTTTGGATTTTCACATGAAACATGACGAGCTAGACTGATGAAACTTTTTTTTTTTGTATTTTGTATTGCAGATGTATTTGATGTAGTTCGTGATGCCAAAGATCGCGTTTTCCTGTTGGATTTTTCTCCATTTAATGAAAAATATACAGAGTCATTGGCTTTCGAATGGAGTGATTTGTTAGTTGATAGCGAGGTATATTCAATGAATATATTGTGATTAAAGTGTAATAATCAACGAAACTTAATGCTATTTTAGATAAGTTCAAATGATGACGAAGAAGAAGATCCGGAATTTCGATATCTTAGTGCCGATTGTGGTATTCAGCCGAATAAACACAATAACTACGGTATTCCAAAAGATGTGATCGACATGTTTCGCGCATCATCAAGCAATTCGAGTAATTCAAACGAATCTCCAAACACCCTTGACGATGTCATTAACAATCGTTTAGGAAACGTAAGATTAACTTTGTCGTAGATCTGTTCAAATGCAAACCTATTTACAAAGATTCATTGACATTTTTACAGATATTTCTAAATCAACCGGATGAAGAACAAGCTCCTGAAGCAGAATAATTCATTTTTATACACAATATTCAAATTGCATTTTTATTCAAATAAAAAGTTGAATTTTTCATAAAATGGATGACATTTTTCATGTCTATTTAAAAAAAAACATGGACGAGATTTATTAGCATGCATTGCAGCACGAATCTCCTCAATATAAATGGTTTTTATCGATAATGCAGTATTAAAATAAGAAGAAGAAAAAAACAATATATACCTATAATTGTATATGATACAAATTATTAATTAAACATTACAAAGGCTTTAAAGTAAGAACTCTCCCGTCTATGTTCATTTAATGTGTTTCTATGCGTAATTTTGTTCAGCAATGTTATCTTTTCTCAATCATTCAGTTGTATATTTCAAAGGATTCGTTTTGAAGTTTATTTCTCAAATGTAGCTGTCAGATTGATGTGTATGAAATGAACAAATAACCTCAAATTAAAAATACTAGAAATACTTTGTTTCTCGAATAGTCGTATTTATAACGATGATATTAAATTATTTGCGGATTTTCGGGCATTCAATTCATCGAAATGCTTGTAAATATTGAATGAGGTATTCAAGTATCATTTAAAGCTAATGCGATTTCGTTGTAATTCATAGTAACGGTGTGTTCAACGAGGAAATTATTTACAAAAGAATTTCTATGGGTAACTTAATATGAATCACAGCGATTGGAAGCCCTGAAATTATTTCAACCGGATACAGTGTTGGAAACCATTGAATTCCAACTAAGGGCAAAAAAATAGGGAAGAACTAATTAAAAATTTTAAACGATGGATTCATGTGATAGATAGGTCACAATGCAAGGAACACTTTCCCTTCCTGATGGAGTGCTTACTATTCATTCGTGATAATCCGCATCCTGATCCAACTAAAAAATTTACCTTTGGACCAGTTGTAATGCGAATGCTTCATTCGCTAAATATGTCACATGAAGCAATAAACGTAAGTCATGAAATAGAACTTTTATTGACGTACTGAATTATTAACTACTTCTTACTTTTTCATTAGATCGCTCACAATTTTGAAACTGCGGACATATTTGATGAAGCTTCTTCTCCAATAATTTTATGCGATTTACTCTTCAACAATGGCATGTACAACGAAGTGCTACGAGTAGTTCAGAGAAAAAAGGCAATGAACGAAAAGAGAGACATGAAGACAACACATCTTTTAAACTGCATCACGTTTGCCACATGTTATAAATTGGTAAGAATTCAAAGACTAACATTTGACTGTGCCAAATAGTAATTCAATAGTGCCTTCACGTTTTATAGAATACACAAGATCACTTGTCGTTCGCATTGGAGATATGGAACAAATCAGTTAAGGAACATCAACTCTCGGAAGCTTTCAATTTCTTGTGTATGAACGCAGTTAATCTGGATCAAGCCAAAATAGCGCTGGATATATTACCCGCCAACGATTCAAATTTCGCGGAATTTGTATTATCGGATTGTGGAAAATATGCGGAAGCAACACAAGTAATCATATGCGTGTTGTAAGTATACAGCGGCCAACTTCAATGATTCATCTCTTTTTTCTCGTTCATATCATTCTTTTATTTTTCAGGCGAATAGAATGAGAGAAAATTTAAACAAATACGACCAAACTGTAGATGCGAATAACTTTTATAACTTACTGAACGATGTAGAAAATCGAGCCACAAAAATTGTAAATTTTATGTCATCCAATGTAAACATTCTTCAATTTCATTTTAAAATTGTATATTTTTCATGTTTTTAGACTATTGACGAAATACTTTGTCGGCCCATTGCTTTGATTCCGAAGAAAGGTGACAAATACGGCCATAGTTCACTCAAGAGCAAATAGAATCGGATTAATTTTTAAATAAAGAGGAAAAAGTTTTTGTTTGAAATGTTATTTCTTCTCAATCGTCCATATTTGGTCAAGCAAATAAAAACACATCTAGTACTTTGAAAGTATGTATTTTAATTAACGTTTTCCTCCACTTAGAATAAACATTTATTTTCTAATTATCTGGTATATCACCACCCGGCACAAGCATCGTAATATTGTTTCCATTGAGCAAGATCTGATCGAGTTTTGTGACCCGCCGGCCTTCTGGTATGTTTTCGTATTCGGTAACATCCTCCAGCAGCATGTTAACAAAATCATCAAATCCCAGTAATGTGCCCACCATTTCCTTGTCATTCTTCATGATGATGTGAATGCGGGAACCGATGCATTTATCCACCAATTCTGTAATGCATTTATTTGTATATCATAAACAACACTGTTTTCTTAAACATTTTAAAAAAGACCCCAAAAACATGGCATCCAAAATCGAAAATATCCAGCACAAAAAAGTTTTCTTTTTTTAAATCAATCCCAGAAAGTTTCAAAAGGATCGAAAGAAAAGCGGCTTATCATTTTTAATTAAAATATAATTTTATTTTTTAATAGTTGTAACATATTCAATCCGAATCTGAATCCATTGAGTTATTACTGATTTGATTGTCGCTACCATTATCCTCATCGTCGTTGTCCCAATGTTTCAATTTCTTATTGGTCATAAAATCATCCCGTAATACACTCCATTGTGATGGTCGTGAGCTATCGGCATCTTGATCATTTTCATCCTTGACTGGATTGTCGACATTTTCCGATTTTGCTCGTTTGCCACCCATTAACATATCCAAAAATTGTCGTTTGTTAATATTATTCAAAACTTCATCACGTTTGTGATCGAGTGGTCCGGCTTTTTCCAATCGATCGACTAAATCACGTTGCTGTGACCGTACTGCGTTGAAAAGTTGTACAACACCTTTTGTTGCAATACGTTTAAATCCACGTTCACGTTCTCGATCCATCGCGCTCGGCTTAACGCGTAGCTCCAATAATTTATTGTTTCGTTCTTTTCGTGCGATTGACGCCAATTCCAGCTCATCGTTGGTTGGTTTTGTGTCTTCCACATTCACATCTGGTTTGATGTCTTCATCATTTTCATCATCGTCTATTTGGCCAGCTATTTCGAATGTTACTTTCTTATCATCATCACTTTGTTCTTTTTTATCTGCCAATTTTTTCGCTTTTGACAAAACCAAATATTTTTTATTTTTTGGTTTCTCTTGCTGAAGCACTTTTGCAAATGCATCGGCCCAACCGGTATTGCCTTCATCGTTATCATCGCTCTCATCCTCATCAAATTCATTATCGGCTTCATCGCTACTCAGCATTCCTTGCCTAGGGTTAATCACAAAGAAAAGAATGGAAATAATGGAAATTAATCAATATGTAATGGAACGTAATGGAAGTAATGGAAAAATAATCGAAAGAATGGATAGCATTCTTCAATAATGGAATAGTAATTTTTAAAGTAAGTATACCCCGTTCCTTGCTCATTTTCGGAATTTTCTTCATCCGAATCTTCGGCCTCATGTTCCAATTCTTCTGTTTCTTCGGCTTCTAATTCTAAACGAAAGTAAAATGCGCGTTTTTAATAATAACGTCACACAGCATTGCATGGAATGTGAACAAAAAAAAAGTTGACATTTTCTTACCTCTATTTACTTTGGCTGGTGTTCGGACTGTCATTTTGATTTCTTATATTTAATTGCGGTTACAGTGAATATTATTGAAGCTTCTCAGATTTTAATTTCGTCTTTTAGAATGAGATTTATTCAAAATAATAAATCCAAAAACTGATGTGTCCAAAATTTGTTTTGACGCTTGAAAAACATGTGCGAGTGGTGTTCGATGCAAATTGACTTTTAGTTTTTTTTTTTGGTGTTAACCGATGTGACAGCCCGACAAAAAAAAAGCAACAGCGCATTTCGCAATTTGTTATTGATGATTGTCAATTGATTGTTTCATGATTTTGGTGTGCATAAAACATTCAGAATTATGCCTGAGGCTGGTGGCATTGACAATAGCAGGAGCATTGTAGCACAACGGTACAATTACGGAGATGATTGTTCTAGTTGTCGTTTAGTCAGCGGTGTTGGTATTATTGGAATGGGTATTTATGTGTTGACCGCAGCGAAAAAACAAAAAACCGTCTTTAGTCGCAATTTTATCTACTGCGTGTCAGCTGGTTTGTAAATTATAAAGTGATCGGCTTGTTTTTTTGTTATAAATACATTTTATTTGATCATTTTAGGTGTTATTGGTCTAGGTGCTGCAAGATTACTTGCATTGCCACCGTTTCAACGTACGACTAGCGAGTAAAATTTCAAAACACTGTAATTCCTATTAATTAAACTCATTTTTAATTGTTAAAAATAAAAGAAGCAATATGACAAAGTAAATTTATTGTTTGTTCAAAATCCAACTTTTCCAAGTTTGGTGTCCGTTTTTGGATTGGCTGTGATTGATTGTACACTGACAATGGTCTCATTGATGGCGGTTTGTAAGTCTCGCATACTGTGTACCTGCAGTAAACGTAAAATTTTGGCCGCTTCGTCTAAATCAGGATCGTCGAACACGTATTTGCCAGAATCTTTTAGCGAATATGCAACTGTCTTAGATTTTGGATCGGAGGTAGTTTGTTCGGTTGGTTTTTTTACCTTCCGTTCAATTATACGTGATGCGGCCTCCAGAACCTAACCAACAAAAAAACGAATAATTTATTGATCTTCCATAGAGTTGGCTTAGAATGGGCTTACCTTTAAATGATCCGGATGATGTGCAATGTTGAGCATTTGTCCTAGTCGACGAACGCCTTGTTCAAAATCCTCACAGGTCATGTCCATTGCATCGAATGGGTTTTTCGAAACCGTTGGATCGGCTGGTTTTGAAGCTTCTGTTACATGAGCGGCAGTGATATCTTTGAAATCATCAGCACGGTCCATATACTCCAAACGAACTGCATAGCTTAAAATCCAATCTAGATCTTCGATACGGGTTTCAAATTTGGGCACTCCAATATCTTCTTTGAATTTCTCAAATGCTTTACTCCATTCGGAAAAATTATCAATATTTCGCAATGGTTCACGATCTTCAATTCGATAATGACGAATCTTTTGATCTTCTAACCATAATACTGTACTTGCAAAATCTTGATCATCTGTTAATTGACAAAGGACAAATACAATGTGAACATTTGAACATATGAACGATATCGATGCTTGACTTACTTTTAAACGAAGTATCAACCGTATTGGCAAATGGATGTTCCAATGCATTTAGCTTATTTCTAAACATTTTTAGATTAAATGCACAATTTCTTTGCAGCTGAAACAAGAAAAAAAACTTTTTATAGTTTGTGTGCGTTTGATTGTAAAGCCGAAATGGGCTTGGAAATATTGTTGTGTCTATCGTAAGCTACACACCAAATGAAATGAATGTCATTCGTGCAAATGTCATAATTTTCGGGCTTTCGACTATCAGCGCCGCATTTGAAATAAAACTTAATCATATATACTTCGATTTCATTTTTTCTTGTTTTTATTTTAAAATGTAATAATTATTCTTCGACCAAATTGGAATCCATTTTATCAAATTTCTCAACTAAATCGTTTGGAACGTCCAATGATTTCAAATTGTCTTCGCCAATCTCATCTTCCGTTCGTATAAGAATATCGACCACATTCTCGCAAGATAGCAAACATAGTTTATCACCCGCAGCGCTATTTTCCTAGGGTTAATTACAAAAAAAGAATAGAAAAAATGGGTATTAATAAACATGTAATGGGTCGGTAATGGGTGTAATGGGTAATATTAATTTTTTTTTAAATCTATACAATATAGAATAAAAGCAACAATAACATTCATTGCTTAAATTTGAGATTTGGTAGTAGTAGTAGTAGTAGTAGTTGAGTTTAACGCGCTATTCTGTGGAAGAAAATAAAACTCACTATAGAATAGAACTTATGTCTTGAGACACTGCCATGGTCACTACCTAAATCAATCGAAAAAGA